TCATTTCAGGACAAATTTAGGGTCAAATGTAATTTCTTAAGCTATCTACAGGTTATTTCGGAAATTCTCAAGCATCTACTACATAAGGCAAAATCCTTAGGCAGGTGAGAAAGTCTTACAACTGATAAAATAACCCTTCCCCTGACGCCGTTATTAAATATTAATCTTTACAAAATGAAGTGCAAGGATTACTATTGGCTCTACATCAATGGTACTACCTGTACTGCCACAGGACCCAAAAAATAGGAAAAAGAACTGAAATCAGGGAATATTGATTGAGAGGCAAAATTTAATAACATTGGAAAAATATGCCATGAAAACAGATTACGAGAATTCAATTTTAAGTTACTCCATAGACTAACTGTTACTAAGAAGGAGCTGAGCATCTATGGTGTAAATGATGAAAACAGTTGCCCATACTGTAAAGAGCCAGACTCTTTTCTCCATACTTTCGTTGAATGCCACTACACTCAAACTTTTTATGATGAAGTTGTTGATTGATTTAATGCAAAATTCAATTGCGCTTTTTCGCCAACGTCTCTTGAAACATTATTCGGAACAGATCTAAATACTTCAAGGAATAATGAGCTTAAACTTAATTATTGTTTACTATTTGCAAAGTACTACCTATACTACCAGAAAATGTACCATAAAGCTTGCAATATTACTGAATTTGTGTTAAAATTGGAACAAAAACTACTTATCGAGAGTCGTCTTAAAAGAAAACTTCTTGTGTGAAATTGCTTCTGCCCTTTAACACGTCTTGTAAGTAATTTCGTTTTTTTTTTTTTGTAATAACGTACTATATTTTATATTTTAGGGTTTTGTGTTCGACTACTGTGTTTTGTATTATCTTAGTTTTACCTTTACTCAATTTTTTTACTTAATCCTTTGTAAGAGGAATTCATACAGAGGCTTTAACTGCCAACTGCTAGGCATCACCCTCGTCAGCCGTTGACCAGGAANAAGTTACTCCATAGACTAACTGTTACTAAGAAGGAGCTGTGCATCTATGTTGTAAATGATGAAAACAGTTGCCCATACTGTAAAGAGCCAGACTCTATTCTCCATACTTTCGTTGAATGCCACTGCACTCAAACTTTTTATGTTAAAGTTGTTGATTGGTTTAATGCAAAATTCAATTGCGCTTTTTCTCCAACCTCTCATGAAACATTATTCAGAACAGATCTAAATACTTCAAGGAATAATGAGCTTAAACTTAATTATTGTTTACTATTTGCAAAGTACTGCCTATACTACCAGAAAACGCATTATAAAGATTGCAATATTACTGAATTTGTGTTAAAATTGAACAAAAACTACTTATTGAGAGTCGTCTTAAAAGAAAACTTCTTGTATGAAAATGCTTCTGCCCTTTAACAAGTCTTGTAAGTAACTTCCTTTTTTGTAATAACGTATTATATTTTATATTTTAGGGTTTTGTGTTCGACTACACTATTTTTTGTATTATCTTAGTTTTACCTTTAGTTAATTCTTTACTTAATCCTTTGAAGTAGTCTTTCTTTCTTTTTTTCCGTTCTGTGTAAAAACAAATGTAGTATTGGGTTGTAAGTAGTGTAAGTAGTATACTGTACTTTTTTTGTAAGTAGTGTAATTGTTAATAAATAAATAAATAAATAAAGAACCTTAGCCCGCGATATGGTCAAGTGATACTGGGCAGCGGATACCTTATTTTGACAGGTGTCAATTGACCATGATATGCATGTACAATATCAACGATTTACGCTGTAAACCAAGACTGCATGACTTGGTATTAGCTGGAGTATGGCCGCCATGTTACGCGACTCGCCCGCGATCCATGCCGCTAGCCATGTTGACCATGAAAAAAGAGTTGCATGGTTTTCTATTTCTATGCATGCTTGTGGTTCTGTTCCTGTAGTTATGGTGCTCCGCTTGGCGGCCCCTAGTTCCGCCGGAGCTTCGCTATAATAATTTTAAATAAAGGACAGAAAAATAATGCACATATGAGTGTGGAGACTGAAGTAACCCGAAAGTTTTCTTGTCAGTCTCCAGTTTCAAAAAGTTGTTCAGACAGCAAATAAAATTTCAGCTGTTTAGAGAAGTTGAAAATATTGAGATCTTATTCAGCCATTTCGTGTGTGAAAGGAAAAGGTGGACCATGAAGACGCTTACACGTAGACAAGTTTATAATGCAGCCTGCCTATCTAGTTACTGAATTCAGGCTTGTTCACGAGTACCATCAATACAATACTCGGAATAAAGATCTCCTGCGCTTGCCGCTAGCCAGAACACCAAAATATCAGAACTCCTTCAGGCTTAATGGCGCAAAAACCTGGAATAGCTTGCCATCTTATGTGCGCAATGCGACTGCTAAATTTTAAGAAAGCAGCAAAATCCCACTTCTTAACCGCTAGTAAATATATTTAAAATATTTTTTCTTCACTTTACTTATTCCCTGTAAGTTCTAATTATTTAATAAGTAACCCAGAGCTTCATTTAAACCAGCATCATCCCTGACTAAAGATTGCCAATAAATTAATAATAAATCATAAATCACTTTCATTGAGGGTTCATATACGAAAGAGAATTGTATTCCTCAGACTTTTCACTGCAATACTCATTTTCGGTTTCACCAGAGCTGAATATTTATTTAATTAGTCAAGCGATTTTTGTACACTGTTTCATTTCATTTCAGTCTCTTACGATGCCACTGAGATATATTATCTTGGCGTTCGTCAGCAAAGAAAAGTTCACATGGAAGTCAGATGGTGTAGTTAGCAGTGCGGCCCTTGTGGTCATGTTTTTCGCCAGTTTAATTTACAACATGGGGTAAGACAAATCTTTTTCACATATTATTTCACAATCTATGACCACTGGTTAGCTGGTTTTACTAAATGTTATTTTTATATAATATTTTAAGACGTTCCATGTGAATAGAAATTTTTTCCCGAAACCGTTGGGCACACAGCAAAGATTTAATGAATATATCATGTTAGAAAATAGCCCTATTTAAATACGCGCCCTGGTTTAAATTAAAATCGTGTTTTTATTAAACAATTAGATTATGAGCTCGAGATTTCTATCGCGTGATAGTTGACGAGGGCGCAGCTATAACTCATAGAAATCGAGAGCGAATAATCCGATTGTTTGAGTATAAATCTACTAGTCGTTCAAATTTCTATCTAAATCATACAGGTTCTCTATTTCTTAAATAAATATCTTACTATCCTCGTCTTCTTGGTACGCACTGTAATTTGTGGATCCTCTTGTTTTTCCTCTGAAATTCTCGGTCCGCAAGGGCCCGTTGACATGGTCTCGGATACCCGAGACAACCCTCCCCCGAGTTACCTACCAGTAAAAACCCAGATAACGATAACTCGCCGAAATCGAGCTAGATCGGCCTGAGGAGCTGGCAAACTCCTCTGGCATACAAACGTTCGACAAATTTGCCTCAAGGAGAGGGTTGTCTCGGTACCTGAGTTCTTACAGTACGGACCTGGGGTAGAACTCGGTTAGTAAGAGCCGAGGTTGCTAACTGCTCCTTCTCTATATAGGGCACCAGAGATCTCATTGAAAGATGAAAGGCGTAGAAGAGAAGAAATTTAGCGTTCTTGATTTAATATTGAAGGAGTGCCTTCAGGTAGCAGAAAATTAACGACGAATAGATGTGTAATATGCTGCTACGCGACCATCGCACCGGCTACGAGTACTCGGACAAGTCATTCATTTTAGTTTGTTAATCCGTTGGCCAAGAAAAAGCAAATTTTAGTTATGAACGGTACAGTTTAGGACAATTTTAGCAGTGTTGTTGTAAATATTACCAATTTGTAATCATAGTTACATTATAAGTTACTAGCAATCATTAAGTTAAATGGCGTACTGGGTGCCTGCAATGACCAACGGGCCGAGTGGAGTCAGACAGCCAATTGAGGTCAGTTTAGTATCAAAGATTAAATTAAGCCGGGTCGGTTGACTAAATTTACATACAATGTAAAGTAGCTTAGGCTTAAAATACAAAATATCCTCACAACACACACAGCACTCGGACAGCCAGTATGATAGAACTAATGACATGTAAATTACATCAGATCGATCTAAAGGACAAGCCTGTAGATAGTGAAGCATCTCTGTTGTTGTCGTTGATTTTTTAATTTAAACATTACCGAAATCTTTATCGTTGCTAAATGAAGAAAGCAAAGAATTTAAACAGTGTTGTCTTTTTCCTAGTGCCTTATTAAGTGGGATATTCTAGGTGTTTTTTCGAGCGCTATACTCTGTTGTTTTTCGGGGTTTTTTATTTCATTAATAACGCTTGAGAGCAACAGTGCACCAGTCCTTCAACCTCGTTCCCATGGCCTTTTCCCTTGGGAACGAGGTTGTCAGTCCTAAGAAAATATCGCAAAGTTTGTATTTTTATAATTCAATTCTTCACGTTGAAGACTTTTCTCTTAATGCTTTTCATTTTTGTTAAGGTCAGGGTCCGTCGTGTCCCTAAGGGTTGTAAAACGCGGATTTTAGTCTCACTTAGGGTGTTTAGAACGAAACGCCACCAATTTAGCCATTAGTTTTAGCCCTCAGGGTATCTCGGGTTGCACTTGAAGAAATAATAAGGAAAAAACTGTCGGACCGTTCTGAAGGCTAGTGGTATTGTTTACAGGTCAAATAGAAATTGGTCTCGTTTTGGGATTTAATTCAAATATTCCGACCAGCATCCCCGGCTTTTTCATAAGGTGTTCCCCTCCGCTCTCCTTCGCTTCCCCCTCCCCTCCGCCTTCGTCCCCCCAACTTTTGTTTATTTTTTTTCAGGGAGCTACCCTCATCCCCCGGAAATAACGCACGTTTTAGGGCGGCAGAACGTGTAAGATAAAAACTCAACTCCATTTAATCATGTGCACGCCGGTAGACGTGCACGCTGGTAGACGTGACGTGAATACCACGAGACTCTAGCCACATCCGGTACAACTACAAATACTGTAATTTGACCCAAAATGTCAAAAACATTTACGATTCACGACTTTCTCGTGATTCACCAGCCTCATCAGGTGTGTGTTAGTTATCGATTTCTCGAATATTTAGCTCACCATTAGCAAACAGATTAGATGAACCGAGCCAAGGAACGTCGACCAAAACAGCCATCATGGAATCGGCGGAGAGAGGACAATGCCAATCCAACGTGACCGAGTTAGAAGCTAGCAGCAGTTCACCGTTAGTTCCTATTGTTTCTCTTCCAACGCCTTATGAAAGGCGAAATACATTCAGGATTGGACCATGGGAATTCAGCCTCCCCTGGACAAACGCCCTGTTTGTTCTAGTCGTGTTGGGCAGCTCATTTGGCCAAACCATCTTGTTACCTCTATGGATCGATTCGATAAAGGACGAAATAAGCTCCGCGGCATTTGTCGACAGATATTTTATGTTGTCATTTGCAAGTCTGTCGTTTGTCGTGATATTCGGACTGGCGATTTTGTTGATTCGTATATTTTCTCCCAAAGATCTCGGCGAGACGGAAAGGAATTTTCCACACTTGTTGTTATTTTTGGTAGGCCTTTGTGGCGCTTTGAACGGTGTGCTGGCGATTTTTGCAAGTAACAGAGAGAAAACGCCGCGATCACTAGAAGCAATTCTTGGAACTTGCAAGATTCCTTTAATTATTTTATTCAGGTGGGTTTTTCTATTTTTTTTTTAAATTCATTTATTTATTTTTCTCATGTCATCACTCGCCGTGTCACGCGATGCATGGCGTGATAGTCACGCGATCGTAACAAGCCAAAACTCTACTGTTGTTCTCTGCTCAAGTTGTATTTTGTGTGTGGCCGCATACATGCTGGAAGCTAGTTTTTAACCCTGGAGAAAATTCATGTCAACACTAAAATTTCATACTCTCGGGGCAGGTTTATATATCCACAACATGTAAATATACAACGAATAGCCTCCTCCTAGAAAATATGCTCGGACAGTTGTCCGCGGACATTTAAGATATCTTTCCGAGAAGCGAACAGTTTTCCGAGAGCGAACTGTGAGCTTCGAGGAACAGATAGTGTCCAAGGACAAATATACGAGCATATTTTTAAAGTCAAATTATTTGAGTGTCGAAAAGTAATTGGTTTTGCCACAGGGTTAGCAATAACGTAATCATTCGCTTTCATTTACTATAAATATACCTTTTTTTACCTGTGTTCCTGTGTCTTTTTGATCCGTTTAGAAGAGATTTGAATAGAAGCGAAGGCGGTTTACACTTCAAATATCATCTTGTCTGCCGCTTTGTAAATACGACGCTCCGATTACGTCTCGAGTTTTCATGTGATCGCCAAGAGTGCGTTTGAGTTTTGGTAGGTTTGGTATGATAAAAAAAGCAAAAATTCTAGGAAGAGCATTTTGTGCCTGAGCTCTGTGAGCTGTTAGGCGCGAAGCACGTGCATACGAGAGGATTTGTTCTCGTTTATACATGTATTACGTATTATTATATGGCTGTGTCTCACAAAGACTGGGAACTACCGAATTCACGAATTTGATTGGCTGAAATCGATATTGACCGCGGTCTAGATTTTCCCATCTAGACCCGCATCTAGACCTGTTTCATTTTGCGTTGAAAAAGTAGCAAACTGAAATACAAAAGTGTTCACCATTTTCTTTTATTTTCTTCTCAATCATTTATGGAAGTGCCAAAAAAAGCCTGATGACAAAACAAAAGTAAGGAGGACGAGGAAATTTCGGCAGGTTTAAGTTAAGCTCATCACCGTTCGCAAGCAAAATGTTAGCAAACCAGTTACATTAAACGAATTAAAGTTTTCTTCTTTGCCATATAATAAATATCTTATTAACCGAGCTAAGTCGGTCTGTATGGGAGAATCTTGACCTCGGTCGTGTGTACAGACCTCACTTCGTTCGGTCTTTACTCACGACCTCGGTCAAGATTCTCCCATACAGACCTCTAGCTCGGTTAATAAGAGCTAAATATTAGTTACAACCGGTCAGTATAAAACACGGACTGTAGTTGGTAGGCCGCATTTAGTCCGCAGTCCGCGTTTTATACCTGAGCCCATGTTTTATACCCAGTCCGTAATTCTTAGTCTGTGTTTTATACCCAGTCCGTAGTCTGCAGTTCGCGGTCTACAGTCCGCAGTCTACAGTCCGCAGTCTGCCGTCCGCAGTCCGCACTCCACAATTCCACAATCCGCAGACGGCAGTCCATTTTTTATACTGACCGTGTAAATCGACACAAACGATGCCTGTTCCGTCGGTATTGGAGACGACGTGCCTTTATTACCAAAACCAGGACAATTATTCTGTTTACGAACACGACTTTGAATCGCCTTGGCTTTGGGGGAACAGCCACAGGGCATTTTCACTTCCGAAACANAAAACGAAGTAGTCACGATTATAATTTGATTTCCCTGACTGAGTTTTCCTCAAACACAAATCGAAAATGACCGGTGATTTTTGCGTTTTTAAATTCATCCGATGTGGTGTGGAGGGAACTTAAAAAGAGATTAAGGTTATTTGCATTTGAAAAGACTCCCCGCATCAGCCTCGGTTGCATGCTAGTTCCAGTCTTATACCGAGAATACGTATAATGCCTACTGTGATTATAACCACTGTTGATCTTGCTGAAGAGTTTGGACTGTGCCTCTTCGTCAGAGCAGAGCACCCGAGATAAAAAACATGATATTGATCAATTTGTTTTGTTTCTAGACGGTTTATTTTAAGAAAGACGCCCAACATTAGGAAACTATTGTGTGCCGTGGTTGTGACGCTTTCTCCTGTCGTGTACCTCATTCCAAACGTTCATGGTGTGGTGAACCTATTGTGGCCCGTGATAATGACGATACGTTTTGTAAGTATTTATTGCCAACATGATGACCACAAGTCACTACCACGAGAGTTAAAACGTTGACAGCGGTTTGGGCTATTGCGCTGATATTTTTATAGGCATCCGGTTTCAATTCGAGACACCATTGGTTCGCGGCTATTTCAGGACTGGAGCAGACATGTACCCAGACTCAATCATTTGTGACAGGGCGTTTTAACGTTTCGTTTTATTAGCATCAGAGCAAATGGTCACGCATTCTCGATCCAAACGATTTACGAAGCAACTAGTCTCCTCAAGAAGATCCAGGCGAGACCGGTAAATCAATAACCTGTTTCAGACCAGTCTTATAATTAGTCACCTAGTTCAGACCGATGTTAAACGCATTATGAAGGGCTTTTATTGATGGTCTTATATATATTGATAATGATGAAAAAGTAGCTTCTTTGGAAAATACACCGAGTTGAAGACTAGAGCGCAAAAACCGTGCCCTATTTGAGAACAAAAATGGCCAAAATCGATACCCTATTTATGACCAAAACGACAACAAAACCATAACCCGTTTGGGGCCGCAAATAGCCCATATANCCCCCCCCCCTCCCCGCTACCGGTCCTCAGATGGCCAGCATTTGTGATCATTTCTAACTTGCCACTGTATTTCCAAAACCAGGTTCCGGCAGCCTTAGCGTCAGTGCTCTCGGAAAAAGGTGTGAAAATGCGAAATGAAATGTCAAGAAGAGGAATCAATTTGGTTTACTTCATGTTCTGGATTTCCACATATCAACTACTTTGTGTTGCTTTGATGTTCTGGGTAAATATTCTGCCAGGGAGTGGAAATGCCTCCATAGTTGATTTGGAAACAAAGTAAGTTGTCGTAATTGTTATTCGTATGACCTATCCCTTCCCCCCTCCCCTCCACCCCCATCCCCGGCCAGTTGGAAAGATAACTGATCGATTTAGCCCAAAGGAGATAAACTTGGAGGAGAAACGATTCGTATCGTAATTTTTGACAGCGAGCTTTTTTTATCATCGTAATTTTTATTTCTGGCAAAACAAAATAATTAACGATTATTGGACGCAGTTGACCAAAATATCGTGATTTGTCAGTGGCGAGCAGATCAATTATTTGCCGAAGTCGAAAGCTGAGGCAAATAACTAATCTGCGAGACACAGTCAAATCACGATATTTTGCGATAACCGTCTTCAATAATTGTTTTATCATTCGCTTATCAAGTCAAGCTGTTTTCATACTTAAAGTACTCTTCGACAGCTGAGGAAAGTGATCTAAAGTTTTAACTTCATATAGCCAGTAAACGTTTTTTTTTTTATAAATTTTTAAGCTGCCCAGTTTTTCACTCGAGAGCGTGGCACGATGTATCAATATTCTAACATGGCTCCGAGACTTTCGGATCAAAAGGTGTATTTCTTTTAAGTTTCTTTTGTCTCTCAATTCTCAAAAGAGACTTGAATACAAAGAAAACAACACCAAATATAGATCTTTGTTCTGAAAGCCTCGGAGCCATGTCAGGATATTGATATATTGAACGTGGCCTGTTGACAAGTTCACATAAGCAGAATATTAATAATATATATTTGCAGCAATACACATCCATTTGGACGGTATTACGCATGAGCAGACCACTATTTGTGAGCAGTTATTTGCAGGTCACGTGGTGCGCTCTCGGCCAATGAAAGGGAAGGAAAAATGCATTGAATGATAAAGGCGATTACTGGGAGTAACTAAATAAATGTCCTCATTTTGCTATTGTAGCTGGCGGCACGGTCTGCAATGTTTCTTTGGCGCGGGAGGCTGTAGTTCTAGAATTGGTACCAGAGGTACTTTGTATATTTTCATGAGCGTTTTGCTTTGTGTTGGAAAAGTACATTTGCTGCGACACTCTGAGGGATCTGCCTGGGTAGCTGTTGTCGAGGTGAGACAAATCCACATTGCTTTTAACCGGTTTAGTTTACTACTACAAGAGTTGCAAATAATTGAGACATCCCCCCAAAAACGGGAAGAAATCTTATATGAGGGATAAACTCTCTTATCATTCGATATCTCTTGGCAGTAGGCAGGGGTGGTTCCCGAAAATTCAGATAAAGGAGGCCGGAATCATCACCTACACTCATGGCCCCGGCCTCATCCCCTACCCCTCTCCCCACAATTTTCCTTGAGATACTGCTTACAAATTTCTGGGAGCATTTCGAAAAAAGAAGGGCCTGTAAACTAAATTAAAGCCTGTTTTAAACGAATGCCGTGTCGGAATTAATTAGCAATCGTCGGAAATTAGTCAGAGATGTTGCTTGCCTAGCAGCTAAGGGTAGACTGTTCCAGAGGACTGCACCACTATAGCCAAAGCTATTTTTGTAATGGTTAGTATGTGGCAAGGGAATAGCAAGCTTATTATCAGAATTGCGCAAATTATAAGAAGTAATCAGATCACTCCGCTGAACGAAATTCGAGGACAAATAATTGGGTGCGAGGCTATTTAAGGATTTATAGACCATCTCAGCCTTTAGCTTTTGACGTCGAGTTTCTAGAAACTCATGTTTAGTTCCAGTGGAAATAGTCTATTCTGCAGTTCCTTACACTGGTTTGTGTATTTCAGTCACCTGTGACGCCACTGGCATTCATATTCTGGTCTTTCTTCAATGAAGACCCGTTCAAATGGCACTCGGATGGAGACGTCAACGATTCAGGGTTTGCAATTGGCGCTCTTGTGGTCATGTTTTCGGCCATTATGATCTACGAAGTGGGGTAAAAGAATATCGTTTTCTAAAACAAATATGTTAGTAACTTGCTAGAGAGGAGGCCTGACTGAGTAGCCGGTTTCGTGCCACTGGATTTGTCTGAAAGCCCCTGATTTAAGTCCTCCTTCGGTAGTCCCTATGGTTTAACATGTCCACAGTGACTACTCTGGAGTGCATTCAGTCAGTGTCAACAGATTATAATGGTTAACTGATCAGCCTTACGCAAGCCGGGGATTTCATCAAGTTCTTGTTTTACGATAACTGCAGAGTTTTTCTCGCGCTTTTTGGCTAATTTTCATTGTCAATAAGCGGACAGACACATGAATTTATAATTTATGCGATGCATCAACGAGCGAGAGCGGACAAATTGACAATTTGTTGTCGTGAAAAACAAATTGACGTCAGTTTTTCATGGGTCTGTCCTGTTATTGACAATGACTTTCGTCATAACATTGTCAAAGTACAGGAGCCATAATCGAGGACGGAGACCGTAAGTATGCAGAAAGCCGCGTTGGTTTCGGTCGAAGAGACGAGGGTACACAAAACGCTGCCAAACTACAGCTTTCTGATCGTACGAAAAGTTGTACACATTTCGTGAAGACATGTCTGCAAGGTTTTTAAATGCCATTAACACTGACTTCGAACAACTTATCTGCTACGGTCCACAATAAGCTGCCTCGACACTCGAAAGTCCGCAATACTGTACAACACTCGAAAGAAACATAGAGAGGACGTCATTCGCCCCTGAAGAATTTTTTTGGGGGGGGGTCGAATTTTTCTGCATTGCCCGATTAGAACTGCTTTCTCTCGAACGCAATTCACTCTCATCGGGGGAGAGATTCTCAAGTTTTATAATGGCAGCGCGTGAGAAGTTAATAGTTAATGAAGATAATGATAAGAAGCGTCATATTTACAAAGAGGTAGGCAAGATGATATTTGAAATGTAAACCGCGATCGCTACTAGTCAGATCCCTTCTAGACGGCTCAAAAAGGCCCAGGAACACAGGTAAACAACGGTACATTTATTTTACATGAATGTAAGTGATTATGTTACTGCTGATACAGCGGTCGTGTCCCCTGTGGTTTTTCATTACTACGCTACACGATTGGCTAAAAAAACTCGCGCCATTTTTCTATCCAATCAGAAATAAGATCAAATATAAATTGTGCATCGTTCGCACTGCACACGTTCTCCCGCACTTCCCGTCAACTCCATGTATTTACTTCAAGTTTTGATTGGTTCATTGGACTGTCCGTGCATAATCTCGTACCCAGATCTCACAATATAGGGGACTCCATTGTTATTACAGCTAGTGGTTTTGATTTTACGATACTCGAGTGAAAACTGTTCCTTCGGCTCCCTCAAATAACTCGTGTAATGAGGAATTGATATTGTTTCATTGTTGTTTATCTATACTGTCGAGGCCTCGTAAGGGACCGCGTTTAGAATTCGAAAACTCGCAAGTGTAAGAGAGTGCATGCGATGGCTCTTAAAACGTGCTCAGGCTAAATATGCAATGACAGCGTTCAATTTCAAATGAAAATACGGAAGCTTAGCCGTCGTCGTTCGCGTTCCTCAGACTACGCTGAACTTGGTCATTTCACGTTGTTTGTTTGCAGAGGACGGCAAAGAAATGTACAAAGATTTATAACGCACGTGCAGAGCTATTGTTCTGCTCATTAAACCTTCTGTTCTCGTTCGCGTTGCCGCCGTCGTCGTCGTAGTTTGCTTAATCTCCCTATTGTCTTTAAAAAACTGCAAAAGGCAGAGTCCACACTGCGCTGGAGAAATTTGAAAACGCAGCTATTTTTGCGGTTGGGCCTTCCTTCTACACTAATCCGTCACGAATACGGAGCTTTTCGAAAACGCTCTTCAAACTGGAGGAATTTGAAAACGCCAGCTTCTGATTTTAGTGTGGACAGAGAACATTTTGAAAACAGACTGATCTTTTCGAAAACG